GATAACTGATGGATTGTGAAAAGGCTCTGTAAAATGCTGGGTGCATCTATGTTTTACATCATCAGAATCTTTAAGTGTGTCTGGGCCATCTTTAGACTTAAGAGGTGCAACTGATGTTGATATTTTGCATGTTTGATGAGCTGATACAGAGTCTTTACTATAATAGGCTATTTACATTCTGTTAGACAAGTCTAGCCACCAATGCTTTTCATTCTTTGGAGATTATGCTGCAGTAATAACTTAGCATCTATAAATGACTGTTCGGTCTTTCCCAGATGCACCCAGGTAATTCTGTTGTTCTTGGTTCCTGGTTTCCAGAAGCTTGCTAATTTCGGGATCATTTTCATCAAACCGCAAAACATAAACAAGTACCTCAGCACTCACCTAATGGACACTCGTCTTAAACTTATCCGAAGTCCCATTAAAATAGGTTCCTTGAAGTTTCTCTTTCACTTTGGGATCTTTCAGTATAGAGTCATTCACACGTTTAGGGACCTTTACCTCATTCCATCTAACTTTAATCCTAACCGGAAGTTTTAATTTAGCACTCAGCATCATATTGTCAGTACCACAGTCAGCACTTTCACCGAACAAAAATTCTTGAATATCACATTTACGAGAAATTATATAGTCAAAGAGGTGACCATGTTTGGATTTGGGCTGTATCCGGGTTACTTTATGGTTTTCTAGATTAAAGAAAGTGTTGCAAATAACAAGTTCAAACTGAGTGCATAATTCAAGTAGCTGTTGATCTTGCCAACATATTTGCCCAGAGAATCCTAGGTGTTATAATCCTAACCTACCCTAGTAATAAAATCTCCGAGGAATAGGATTTTATGAGTTACAGGGATCTTCGTCGTTATTGTCCTGAAATCTTGATAAAAAGGCTAGGGCCATTTCCTCGCTGCTTGTAAGAGTGGGAGTCTAGACGGAAATAATAGTCATGTAACGATTATTTGGAAGTGGAACTCTTAGCTTCATAATTCTATCGCTAAAGCCTTGAGGATGTTCTAGAAAATTAACTCGTTCAGATTTTATGGCAAAGCTAACACCCCGCCCAGCATGCCTTTTACCATGTGGTTTACCTTTCCAGAATAACCAGACCCCATTTCAGTTAAATGATTACAGAGTGTAGCAATATCTAGTAAGCTCCTTGACAACGTTTCCAGTACGGCGTACAGGTCTGACACTTTACGATCAAGAAGTGTTCGAACATCCCAAGAACCGATCTTTAGACTAAGACGCTTACTTTTGTAATTCATAGTTTTTCTCCCGCCATAAAATGACAGCCGTCAGCCGAAGGATGCTGATCAGCTATATAAAGAACAGGCATTTGTTAAGGTGTTATAGTGGAACACACCTATTCTATAGTTAATAGACTCTCCCACCTATAATAAGTAGGAGTAGTAATAGTAGCGAGGAGTCGCTCAGTGGGTCGGTCTGAGTTCAGTCTGAAGTCGGACGACCGGCTGACCGGTTGAACTCTCTGCTTTCGGGCGGGGAGGAACCCGAACGAGGCTACGCCGAAGGGCGAAGTCTCTTTCGGGGAGGTAAACCGACCCTGAACCCGTTTATACGGGTTTAATGAGCATATTTTTGACCGAGCCCACGAGCTCGGAGATCCCACGTTAAACCGGCCTTGTGCCACATGATGCCCTCGTGGTGGGGGTGACTGAATATCGCTCAGTGGGTGGGTCAGTCAGTCGATGCCGGACGACCGTTAGTCGGATACTAAAGTATCAGCGACCACAACTAGATTTACTCTACGTCATTACCTATTATATCAAGTTCCTAACGTTTTGTATGTCGAACCTATTTTAGGACCGACTTAGTACAAATACAAACCTCCACTGTGAAACCACTCTATAACATAAGGTCACCTTTTCTAGACCTTCTCACATTAATGGATGAGCAGTGCATCCCTAGAGAAGACTGCTAATACATAAAAGGATTAAACCGAAGTATGTTGCTATTCGGTCAACAAAATCAACGACGTTAAGAAAAGCTCTAAGCTGCCCACGTGCAAATTTGTGCCTATGTACTTCCAGTCATGTCAAGCCTACACACATTGCCACGTCTTCATCGCCATGGGTCCAGTGAAGAGATGTCTGCACATATAGATGGTAATGCTACATGTTTGTACTACACATATGGGATTTCACCATCGCTTTAATATGACAAGCCGAAGCAAGATGACTGAACGAATAAAGCAATCGCATGTTTTATTTTCATGCAGCTTGATCTCTCCTGACCGCCCAGCTGCACCGACCAGCAGCAGGAGTAAATACACCCTGGTTCGACATAATATATACATTTATTCTTCGTATTCTTCTTCTTTTTCGCCCTTAACCCCGGAAGGAGTCGTTGGGGTGCCGACCTGCTGAGCTGTCCACCATCCTCCTCCGTCTGTCGCGATTGTGAGCCTGGGTCTCAGCTAATGGTTCTTTGGTGTGCTCATTATGTAGCGTGTCTTAGGCGTTTAACCTCGATGATCCCTTCCTCTCCAGGTTAGACAACAGACGATGCCCTTCTTCTAGGTGGCTCGCCTTGGAGACGAACACATTGACATTGTAGTTCAATTGAGGAACCCTTGCGCCCTGGCCGGTGGCCTGCGTCGTTTTACTAATTAATCCTTAGCTGGGGAGAGGGAAGAAATGGATTCATACTTTTTCCAAAGGTTATTTGCGCATATGTGAATATAATGAAGAGAACTGGAATTGGAACTGTGAGCTTGGGTCTCAGCGAATGATTCCTTGATGTCCTCATCATGTAGCGTGTCTTAGGCGTTTTAACCTGGCGGAGCCTATCTTCTCTAGGTTAGACAACAGCCGATGCCCTTCTTCTAGGTGGCTCGCCTTGGACACAAACACATTGACATTGTAGTTCAACTGAGGAACCCTTCTGCCCTAGCCGGTGACCTGCGTCGCCTTACTAATTAATCCTTAGCTAGGGAGAGGGAAGAAATGGATTCATACCTTTTCCAAAGGTTATTTGTGCGTTTGTGAATATAATGAACCTAACTTGAATTGGAATTCGGCTCCCCGACTAACAATTCCGAACCCTCACACCACCGGCTCGACCAAACTTACGGCATTCCTAAGCGGTCACACTTCTAGGTACTTCGATGATCGTACGAAAACCGGTCTTTCGACATGTATGTAACCGTAAGCTTCCAAAATTTAAAAATTCCTAATGTAAAATTTCTTGGATGATAGATTATGAATGGATCAAACGCAACATGGTCTTCTCAAAACCGAAACTTGACAACTTAGTAGAAATTTTCTTCAAAGAATTAATATATTTTTCTTCTTTTCCTTGTTTTCTTTTTCTCTTGTTTTGAGAAAATTTCCTATGTTTATCCGAGAAATATAGCCACAGGTAACTGCATTACAAAGTCCACTTGTCTTACCCATGAGATGCGTCAAAATAAACAATGAAATTGAATTACTTCGACAGCACTGTTTTAGAGATTGCTATTCTAAATTTGTCGATAGAAATCGTGGATCAGTTAATAACTTTACTGAAATACAAGACTTAACGTATATTTCAAACGTATGTACGTAAAGACTGACATTTATTTATAAAGCATCTTTTCTGTAATACTTATGTACTAGTTATCGGTCATGTAGTCTGATGTCCTCTACTTACAAAAGAGATATTTCAATATGCGGTATTACTCGCCAATAAGTATATATACCTAGTGTTACCAAAACGAGTGAGTTTTCATTAGTAAAATAGGAGAGATCAATCTGATTTGTTATCTCTTTTAATTCTGTTAGCTTTCTTTGGACACCATTACTTTTAATGATTTAAAAAGCAAAATCATTTCTTACAACAGACTGAATTGTATTGTTAAATTTCCCCCATTAGTCTGGCAGAAAATATAAGCAATGCAATTGTAAAATTGCTTAAATCTTACCTTTTTTTACCGTAAGTATAAACGAATAATAATTGACAACTTCAGGTTTTAATCAAGATCTCACTTGACCATTTTTCAAGAATGGTATTCCACTTCTTGAAACATTGGCAGAAATTAGTCACCTCAGTACACCTGAAATGTTTTAACTTAGCTAGACGCTGTAAGCTCATCGAACCCAGTTGTATGTTTTTCCTTTTTCCTTTAGTTAAATTCCCCAAGCTCACTCCAATTAGGTGACAGTGATTAAAGTTCTGTAGTCGGTGCGTGATTAATTTCCACTTTTATGTTTTGGTGTTTGTTATCGTGCTTGGATATGTACGTACCGGTTTTTGTATAAGTCATTTTACTGATAAAATCCCGCCCTTTTTTTTGGGGTGGGGAGCGAGATAACTGCTATTTCTGCCACTCTAAGGGTGGTGGTGGGAGGTTCTAATGCTAACGCTCAATGTTTCTTTTGTTTCTTGTAAAAAGAGGCAAAACTGCAATACAGAAAAATACGGAAGGTCCTGAAATAATAAAATCTGAAGTGACATCAGAACTGAAGAAATATGAACAGAAACGAAGCAACAGAACCAGATTGGATTGTAATAGAGATCTTTTGTCAAGATTACACATATACTAAATGAAATAAACAACAATGCTGATATACCGGAAGACCTTAGGAGATCAATTTTCATAGCGCCGCCTAAGAAGCTATGTACACATGAACGCGTGCTCCATTGAACAATCAACCTAATAAGCCACATAGTGAAACATTTCATCCAAATTGTTATGAATAGATCGCGGAGCCGATTCAGACTGGAAATAGCAGAAAAAGTATTTCGGGTTTGTTAAAGACACTGAAACAGGAAAAGCGATATTTAAGCACAGAATATCAGAGAAAGGAATGCAAATGCAAAACAATGTATATATCAATGTTTTTAAGCTTATGCAAAAGTCATTGATAAGATACGACACAAAGAATTGTTTGAAAAACCTTTACATTGAAATAATCCAGAACTTACATTGGGAAACTAACCGTCTTCATACAGACGGAAAATAATTTCAGTAAGTATACAAAAATAGAAAGACCTGAAAGAAAAGAGTAAATCTTCTCAACAGACTTATTCAAATTTTGCAGCGAGGCTATCCTGGGAGATCAAGAAATTCTCCTTCCATCCCTGATATTGAGAATTTTTACACATAAATATCGACCAAATTAAAGCAATATATATATATATATATATATATATATATATATATATATATATATATATATATATATATATATATATATATATATATATATATATATATATATATATATATATATATATATATATATATATATATATATATATATATATATATATATATATATATATAAAATAGTAAATATACATTTATACTTCACTAATAGCACACCTTCACTGAGTTTCATGAACAATGCAATTGTCAGGTGCGGATTGACCTGACGATTGCATCGTGTATAAAACTCAGAATTGTGAGTCACAAAATGTATGTTTATTATTAGTAAATTTTTAACTCGTTAAATTATAAATCTAACATCGTTTTATTGACGTAATGTTTTAATTTTTATATTTTTATGCTCACTAATTGCCTCGTCTTTGTTGTTCGTTTGTTTTTCTTATTTTTTGATTATATCAACCAAGTTTACGGTTTTCCTTGGATGTTCCAGAATATTCACAAACCCTATTTGAGAAAGCATTTGCAATGTCCATACTCATACATCTGGATACCGGAACTAATATACTTTGGAGTTATTTTGGCTGTCGACTACATCGATATGAGAAGCCATTTTGACAAAGTATCAACATTTTAGCAGTTGATAGCATTCCGCTTCTTAATCTCCTCAACACTTGTAAAGCACTATGAGATATCAATTACGCAGGAAACTACAGAGTGGGGGGGGTCTGCAAAGAAATGCAACTCCTACTTGGCATTTTATGAATCCACGTTGCTTCTCAACGAATAGTTTCCAAATAGATATGTATGAACAGAGAGGGAAATAGATAGATATTTGTACACATACAGACATGCTTAGATGAGGTGTTGCTAAAAAAGTGTCAACCCGACTCAATTCCCAAAATGTAACCAAATGACGAAACATCCGGAAATTTTAATCCATTCTTGGTTATATCAATAAAGTTTTATTATATATATATATATACACACACACACACAAACATATATATATATATATATATATATATATATATATATATATATATATATATATATATAAGTGCATATTGAGTTGAACACACAGCAACAGAACAGCAGTCTGTTTCAAGATTAAACACAATCATCAGGCCATATATATATATATATATATATATAAAAAAGGCACAGTGGCGTAATGGATAGCGGCTGGGATTGAGGAATCGAATTCATTACATTCACTTACGTGCTAATAGCCACTTCTTCTCCCTCCAGCAATGGGTAAATAGCAGGACAAGCAGGGTTCTATAGCCTTGGATGGCAACTGGTCTAGGAGTAGAACAACTCTGAATTCAAAACCAGGTCTCTGTATTCGGCTCTTCAAAAAGTGTGTAATTTCCTAGGAACAGATCTGCTTGACCCTCATACGTCGAATCCGACGCGAGAGTCGAGTATATATATATATATATATATATATATATATGTGTGTGTGTGTGTGTGTGTGTAAAATCTCCTCAGAAAAACGTGTATGAAAATTTGAAAATATATGTCTGTACATACGAATTTGCACGCTAGTCTGCACGCTCATATCTGTGTGTGTGTACGAATGACTACTTAACTGTATTCATGACACGTCGCAATCACATAAGCCATTAAACTGAATGAAGCTTCTCTCAAAATGAATCACAATAGTCCGATTTTCCTAACAATCTATCCTTTTATTTTAATCGCATATAAAATATTTCTTATTCGGATTTTAGAAGTATACGTACGTACAAATTTCTTAAAGTTTGGAATATTCAATAGCAGACTATATTACAGATAAAATAAGTTTGGTTTGGTTTTGTACTGTTGTTATTTATTTATTTTTTTTAGTTCAGTTTGTTATTGTTAACCAATTCACCCCAAGCAAGGCGATAATGCCACTAAGATGCAAAGGCTACTAAGACTTTAGAAGGAACCGGGAACCCAATCTTAAACAGTAAACAAGGGATAATCCTCTATTCCTGTTCAAAAGACCGGAGAGGAATGTAAACCGAAAGGTAGGCGAACCTATCTACAATGTCCGGTAGATCAAACAACAGATTAGAACAAACTTCAATAGAAAGATACAGATTTGGATTTATGGATTTCAGAAATAGATGAATGTGTTTATTTGTTCAGATGAGTTTTAATGACTTATTACTTATTGCAAATGGATAAAGAAAATTAATATATTCGCCACCAAAACGCTGCATGTTGAAACTGTGGACTTACCTAAAAATGGTGAGCCCTTTTTTAAGCAGATAAATAGTGAAATGATCAAGATAATAGATAGATAGATAATAGATAGATATGAAAAATGATCTAGATAGATAAATAGATAGATAGATAGATAGATAGATAGATAGATAGATAGAAAATGAAATGATCAAAGATAGATAGATAGATAGATAGATAGATAGATAGATAGATAGATAGATAGATAGATAGATAGATATGAACAGACCGTGAAAGATTGACGTGAACAGATAAAAAAATAGAGAAAATCGTAAATTTAGAACTATGTGAATTAATACCTAAGCTAAAAAAAAAATTCTAAAAATCAGTATTTAACGCCACTCGTCACATAACAAAAATATTTTTTAAATGTTACTTCAATTTTGTTGCCACAAAATCAAATTTAAAATACTGAGTTGGCCAGAAAATCATGAATAGGAAGCGTAAAGAAAACAAAAACAAATTATGGAGCAACCCCAACACCTATTCTTCAAGTCCATCAATCTCGACGATTTCTCTAAGCGATCAGCCAGCATCCTAATCTTTCTCAGATACCAGACAGCTGGCTTTGAATAAAAAAATAAAAAATAAAAAAAAACTCTAAACAAGCTTCCATCACTTTATCAAAAGTGTTGAATCGCCTGTCGTGGAGAAAGTGTGCCATTGAGCGGAATAACACTCGCAGCAGCATCTGGAATGAATGGTGGATGTGGAAGAATCTCAACACCGTTCATCTGTTTGAATTTCTCCTTAATCAAACTGGCGGTGTGTGGCCTCCCATTGTTTTGCTGAAACAAAGCCCGACTTCGATTGACCAAAGGAGGATACTCATTCATTAGTTTGTCGTACACGTGGTGAAGCTTCTAGCAATAGAGTTTAGCGTTGATAGTGCGACCGTGTGGAACAAGCACGAAATGCAGTACTCCTTGGAAATTCCACAAGACACATCAAGACTTGTTGTTTTCTTTCCGTTCCCTCAGTGAGTCAGATCTTCCTGTCCCACCTAATATTTATGGATGATTATATCTTTCTTCGGCTTTCCGAATAACAATTCCTTGGAAAAATTTAGATTCACTCGATAGAATTAGATAAGGTATATATATATATATATACCTTATCTAATTCTATCAGTGAATCTAAATTTTTATATATATATATAGTTACACACGCAAACACAAAAACACACACACATATATATATATATATATGTGTGTGTGTGTGTGTGTGTGTGTGTGTGTGTGTGTGCATTTAGGCAGCAATCCTTCTTTCATGCCCATTTCATTGAATACGACAGACAGGTTAGGAATATTTAGTTTTTTATACAATTTCTCAATGCGATCTAATATTTTTTTTTCTTTTCCGATTATAAATTATATAAAAACTGTCCGAATGTTCTTTTTTTTCCGAGCACTTTCGGCTATGCATTTAGCGATTTTTCAAGGATTAAACATTTTATTAATATCACACACACACACACACACACACACACACACACATATATATATATATATATATATATATATATATATATATATATATATATATATATATATATATATATATATATGCCATATTTATGCCATATGTCTTCAAGAGATTAATAACAATTCCACCAGGTGTTGGAAGGTTGTTCCTTTTGTATACAGACTTATATTTAAAATTAGTCTTTTTCTTAAATACCATCTGTTGACGCTTTACAGGAAAACACGTGAGATAAACTCAGGTAGTTAATCCATATGATGTTAAACTCAGTGTTTACTTTTATATTTACAAACACTCTAACTAATATTGAGCATTTTTACCCATGAATATAACATACCTTAAAACTGTACATACATATATATATATATATATATATATATATATATATACTAATAATAAATATACGTTTTGTTCCTGCAGAACAACTTTGAGTTTCATGAACAATTCAATTGTCAGGTCGGGATTGAGCTAATGATTGCATCGGACATGGAACGCAGTTGTGCTAACCTTGTGCAAGAAAACGTATGTTTTTCATTATTATTATTATTTTATTATTATTTTCTTTGATTTCTGGCGTTTACACATTTCTTTCCGGGTCCCGCCCAGGGACCTAAGGTTAGAAATGGCGTCATGACACTTTCCACTGACAAAAAAAAAAAAAAAATTAAATAGATACAGCCCTTCGTAAAATGTGGGCTGCCCTTGTAAGAACAATTTTTTGTATCTCCTTGAGGCATAGACTTCCAGGAATCCCTTCAATTAGTCTACTGCAATCTTTTCCAACCAGTCCTAGGGGCTCCAACTACAACAGGGATTGTTGATGTTCCCATATACCACATTTTCGAGATTTCTATTTCAAGGTCCTTGTATTTTGACAACTTTTTGAATATCTTCAAAGATACATTGCACTCAGCAGGGACTGCCATATCAATAAGGAGGCACCGTTTTTGTTTGTGGTCTTTAATAACAATATCTGGCCGGTTGGCCCTGATTGTTCTGTCAGTGTGTATTGTGTAATCCCATAGAATTGTAACAGGTCCTATCTCCGTAACCTGGTCTGGGTGGTGTTCATACCAGTTTCTTTCTGTTTTCTTCCCGTAGAAGTTGCAGATTTTCCAGTGCAAATTTTGGCCCACTCTGTCATGCCGGGTTTTATATTCAGTGGGTGCCAACACCGTACAACCTGATACAATCGTTTCTGGATATTTATCACAGAATCTGAATTTTTGGCTAACACAATATTTTAGTATATGTGCTTGATAATTCCTAGTTAGCAAGCATTGATTATTATTATTATTATTATTATTATTAACTCTGTTATTATACATCGAGCATTGTTTATTACCACCATCACTTTCTGTTGTAATACATTTCATATATATATATATATATATATATATATATATATATATATGAACGTTTCCATCATATATATTTATATAAATATATATGTTCTAATAAATATACATATTAGCCCATAAAAATGTTAGAACGACTCTCAGTTTCATATTTTGCATTCTTCAGGAGCTGGATAGAGACTGGCCGTTAGTTTATTTAAATTTTAATAAAACAAAAAATTTAAAAAATAACTTAAAATTAGATTTTTTAAGTTTTTTTTATTTAAATTTATCTTGTCCTTGTAACGGAATTAAAAGTTTTTTCAAGACCTAATATTTTTGTTGGGACATGAAACTCATTAGTCAATGCTAAGGCAAATGGATATGTATATTTTTAATATATAAATTCTGTTATATTACATCATTGCTATTTTATTATTTCTGTCTATATGTATTATATCTTATATATATATATATATATATATATATTGCCCGATTTAAATTTTTTAGTAAAAACAAACCACTTTAAGGTTCCATATAATAAATTATTTCATACAGCCCTTTTTTGCTTGACTGCGGATCATCATAATTTAATCTCTTAAAAAAAATATTTATACATATGATACATCAAATCTGATGTCACAAGAGTTATACACCTATTGAAATAAAATTTGTTACATGGAACCTTTAATATAAATGGTCTGTTTTTATTTTTTTTTTTTTTTATTTCTCTGGTTTATATTTATTGAGCTCTCTGGAAGACATCCTCCTTAGGTTTACCCATACGGATTACCTAAACGAACATAAACTATATATATATATATAGATACACCTAGTGTGAACTTGACAAACCTACATTTGTTTTTCAACCCCAAAACTAGGTTCAGCCAAACTTTCCCTGACGATCCGTTTAGGTGAAACCTGAATAGGTTTGTCTGGCTCACTAGATGTATCTAGGTCTGCTCTACGGTTGTATTGAGCTCTTTTGTTGTTAGTTGTTACTCGTATCGGGGTTTTTTCTTTGGGCTTTATCTGTATCTGTGCGATTTTTTTGAAGTTCATGTTTGTAGCTCTTTCTTTTTTAAAAACTTTTTTCCCTCGAGATTGATTTGATTTCAAGCAAATCAAAATTCGAGGGTTTTTCAAACGAAATCTAGTTATCTATATATATATATATATATATATATATATATATATATATATATATATATATATATATATATAAAAATTTAGTTAATTCCAATGAGAGAAAAGAAGAAAGAAAACCGCAAACGTTTCTGGTTGTAATGTGGATTTTCTTTTTTTAAATATTATTCTTTATTTTCCATAATTTTGCTACACGGGTTTTCGGTCTCGAGACCTTCATCAGGCAAAGTGTGGAGACTTCCACATCTTATTTTTTTATCTTTTTCAATGTTAAATATTCTCGATATGAGACCTTCTCTTTTTAGTGTGTTAGTGACCCAACAGTGTGGCCCAAAGAAAACAGAACCAACAATTTTTTTTTAATGAAATTGTTTATATTAAGTTTTCTTCTTTTCTTCTTTCAGTGAATATAAGTGGACTTTGTGCATAAAATATGTTGAAACTTGACTAATGCATGGAATAATAATGCAACACAAAATGTACTTAGAACAAAATGTATTGAAACAAGAAAGTGTACACAATATTTACATGTAGTCTTTTGTATATTCCTGGTAAGACCGTTCCTGGGGAACCTGTTGACTGAGTCGCAGTCGGGCAGAGTCTCTGGTTGAATCTCTTGATTCCTCCATCTCTTCCCGGTACCAACCATATTTATATGGTCGGTACTCCACTATGCAAATTAGGTGGATCCTACCACAACAAAATATTAGAACAATAATCTTCCCCAGTATGCCTTAGTCAACCAAGGAAAAGACATTTTGCGTGAAGGCCTATTTCGCCGACAAATCGTAGACTGTAGTGCAAGCAAACTTTCGGAGATAGTTTCAATGCTCTCATGCTCCATCAGAAATCAGAATTTTTTTACTGGTTTCAGAAGTTCAGAAAGTAAGGGTCTATGCAAAATCTGAACTCTATAGGTCTGAGGAACACCTACTCTGCTCAGAGACTGAGTGCTAAAACAGAAAGAAACATTGATGCGGGACGGAACTCAGTGGAGCGTAGCACAAAGATATTACTTTGAAGGCGAAGTCAACTGGGAATCTATCGAGAGGCGTGTTCTTATACCAGATCTTCATTTTTATCCTGACAACATCCAAATAAAGCAAAAACTTACGGAGACGGACATAGAAAAACGCGTAAATATCTGTGAATGGTTTTGTGACACAATCGAAGACAATCGAGACTTCTAAAATCATCATATTTGGATCTCTGACGATGATCATTCTCTTTGAATTCATCCTTATGTAAAAATCAAAAACAATGTTTGTTGGAAACAATAACGCCGGAGGATGTGTTAGAATTGGCCGTTTGCAATAGAACAAAGTGCACAGCATGGGCTGCAATTTCTAAACATGACATTATTGAAATATTGTTTTTTAGACGAAAATGAAACCGACCTCAAACAATGAATACGGAATTATGTGGCAAAACAGTCATAAAATAAAATTAGGAAACACTGAGACGGCGTAGAGGATAGATCAAGATGAACAATGGTTCCAGCAAGACGAGGCCAACCCACACATACATTCAAATTAGACTCCCTAGCCTGGCTATAGAGATATATTTATATATATATCATCAGCAGGAAGTGTGACGTTGAGTGAGCACCGTGTCACCCGACTTAAATATATAGATTTTTAAGAACTCATTAGGTATCAAATGGATAATGTGTACCAGAACAACCCTCAAATGAATGGTGAACTGAAGGCAGCAATAACAGCAAAAATCAGTCAAATCTCCAAATGTGTCTGAGTAATTGACAATTTTGCGCAACGTTGGCAAGTTTGCATCTAACACCACGGATCCCATTTGGAACATATTTTGGAAAGAAGGTTCTGTTTTTTTTTGAGGTCATTTTGTATATATATATATATATATATATATATATATATATATATATATATGTCGCTCTTGAGCACTGTTGAATGACAAGCTATAAATAACACATACATATGCCTTAATATCTTAATCTATTCAAAAAATGAATAGAACGATGTGGCTGACTGAAATTTGTTTACAATCGTAAAAATTTCTACGCTAGATTTAATGTCCATTCTGTCGAATGAAGATAGCTCAATGGTAGAAACTCTGACTAACGCCAAATTGCTTGGGTTTCCATTCTGACTTGAGCCATTCGGATGTCTAGTTGCATTGAGGAGCTGTGATACAGCGAAGCAGAACTCTCTAAATGATATATATATATATATATATATATATATATATATATATATATATATATATATACGAGAATGAGCTGAAAAGTTCATAGGCAGACTATTATAGAGGAATGATTCTAGAGCTGTGAATCTTGCGTATGTTATTTTCAACTCTTCTTATTAATAACTGAATTGTTTCTTTCAATGTAAACTGACAGCCGACTCTTCAAAGAAGACGTCAGATGTCTTGAAGATGACACAAGTTCTTGACGTTCTGGAACTGACACAACCGAGGAAATTGATCGTACTCACCACATGGTGACGGATGATAAGCGACTGACTATAAACCAAATAGTCAATGCTATCAGGATATCTCCTGAGAGATTTGAGAATATTCCGCGCAGTGAACTTGGCATGACGAAGGTTTCTACTCGGTGTGTGCCACTCTTTCTGATCAAAAAAGCAACAGAATGATCGTATCATGGGAAAATCTGACATTATTTTATGATGATCCAGCTGGTTTACTTGAACGCTTCTTAATCCAGGCTGAGTGTTGGGTTCATCACTTTTTGCCAGAGGCAGAGACATCCTTTTGTTTCATCTGCAGAGGACTAAATGGCCTCAGAGTTTTGGGGATGTAAAGAGAATAGTGATTATTGACTATCTTCAAAATGGTCACACAATCAATGGCGAGTACCGTTCGAATTTGCTGAGTGATTTAAGAAAGGCTATTATGGCCAAACTTCCAGGAAAAATGACGAATTTTGTTTTGTTTCATCAATGTTCCAGCACACGTCAAACATCTGTCAGTCATGTGTTGCAACAGTTTTGCACACTTGAAAAATGGGTACGTTCAAACAAAAGGTGGTATGCCTAAGTTGTTTAACACATCTAAATGTAAATACTAGGAAATAAAAACGGAAATTCTGAGTTGTTGTCTCATATTCATCTTTTGATCTTAAACACAAATGTCTTCAGTGAACAACAAAAACAAAAGAATTAGTCTTGCCGTTCCAATACTTTTGGAGGAGTCTATACACACACACACACACACACACACACACACATATATATATATATATATATATATATATATGGCTGGGCAAGAATCCCTCTTTTATACAATTTTCGTTAAAAATAGCTGATAATTATTTTTCATTTCTAAGCATGCAGAAATTGTTTGAATGTTCTGTATGCCCTTTTTCAAAATATACTCTCTTTTTTCCGAACGGGATCGTATATATATATATATATATATATATATATATATATATATATATATATATATATATGCAGCATATCTTCATTCAAGAATGTTTCATTGAATAATATAGACATATTATGTCTGTTTATTTGTTACAATGATCCTTTCTAGTTCTTTAAATACTTTCTTGATGTTAACTTAAAATTGATGAAGGAAGGCGCCGTAGTTCTTGGTAAGCCATGTGCTTTCGATCTCCTCCGAGATCATCTTCAGGGTTTAATTGGGAAGACAAACTTAATATAACTATGATCGTTGCGATGGTGATTTTTGTTAACACAGTTGAACGTTCTCTGTTATAATTATTTAAAAATAACCGTTGTAACTAAGACGTTTTGTAAACAAGCGTCCATATTGTAAGGAAGCTAACCAGAGATGGTGAAGATGCAACATGGCGTTAAATATTAGTGTGTAAAGATAAGAAAGGGCGTAGACATCAGCCTTCCATTGAAAACATTAGTGGAGGTAAATCTACCATGCCATTGTCCGAGAGCTTGCAAGAGAGCTAGGTGCAAGTATTGAATCAATTTCTGAACATTTTAACACAATTGGAAAGTCTAACATGTTGATCAAGTGGCTACCACACGAATCGAATGAAAACTAACAGAATCGTCGTTATGAAGCTTGTTCGGCACTTTTACGCAACGAAAATAACCCATTTTTCGATCGGATTGTGACATCTGAAGAGAAATGGATCCTATATGACAACCGACGATGTTCAGAAGTATATCTGGAACAAAAGGAAACACCTAAACACTTCCAAAGGCCTAAGTTCGACCATGAGATGCTTATTGTGCCTGTTTGGTGTTCCAAATCTGGATCGATTCCCCAGAGCGTTCAGTATTTATCGTTCCACCCACGAGGACCGAATATGGCACAAGGCCGGTTTTAATGTGGGTATCCCCGAGCCCGTAGGCTCGGCCAAAAATATAGCCTTTGAACCCGCCTAGACGGGTTCAGGCCCTGTCTACCTCCCCAGACGAAACCTTGCCCTTCGGCAAAGCCTCGTCCGGGTTCCTCTCTGTTAACGCAGAGAGTTCGACAGAAGGCGTGCGCAGTCAGAGACCGCTCAACACCGTTCATGATTTTCCAAGCGTAGCTCAGATGTGGCACAAGGCCGAAAGTAAGGGGAACCTAGTGAGGATCGAACTCACTACTCAGTCATAATAGTTCTAGCTAGACAAGCTTGCTAACCATTACACCACCTCGAGGTTCCCCAGAGTGTTCTGAATCCTGTTGGGACAATCATAGCTAAGAAGTCACTGGGGCATCTCGACGTGGTGTAATGTTTAGAAAGGCTGTCTCGCTAGATCAGTTACGACTGAATAGTGAGTTCGCGCCTAACTGGGTGCCCCATACTTTCGATCTTGCCACATCTAAGCTGCGCTTAAAAAATCACCACAGCTGAGAAGTATTGCCAAGAAATCGATCTGATACATCAGAAATTGCAGTATATGTGTCCAGGTTCAGTCCTCTTGTGTGACAATGCTCGACCTCACGTTGCACAACGGACACGACGGAAATTGAATGAATTTATCAATAAAACTTTGTCTCATTCATCTTACTCTCCTGGCCTCTCGCCTACTAATTACCACTTTTTTACACATTATTTTTTAAATCAGTATCCCCCCCCCATTCAAGACAGTAAAGCATTAATAGTGAGCGGAAAGATAAAAAAAAAAAGTAATCAGGAGGTCAGTACACAGCGATTGACATTTCATCTAAATTTTTGCAGATTAAAGTTGGTTGGTAAGCATGGTGCCCGGATGGAGTTCCACAAGCGAGATATATGAGAAAAGAAACTGTTAGCATAGAACTTACGGTGACACCTAGCCATCGCAACTTTAAATTGATGAGATCCCAACGCCAGTCTAGTACTGAGCTTAAATTCAATAAGTCTAGGTATCATAACGAAATCCTCATCTGAACAATTACCATGAAAGTATCTATAAAAAAGACAGAGAGACTACATTTCGGCGGTGCGAAAGTAACTGAAGCTAAGCTGCCAGATCAAGACCAATAATATTGCCGAATCTTCTTTGCATGTTATCAAGCTCAAAGTAAATAACAGGGGAACTGGATCTTACGTGGCAGGAATATTTTAAGCATGAACGAATGATGGATTTATGGATATATAAGATACATTCTGAAGAGAAAAATTGTCTCGCACGACACAATGAACCGACTTTTTTAGCAGCTAATCTAGCAATGGATTCAATATAATCTTTCCACCTCCTGTCAGCTGAAAATGTTAGCCCGAGAAGGTTCAATGAGTCACTTACTTAGAGATTAACATCAGCCATGCTGATGGAATGCAGCGAGGAGACTCTCAGATGATTTATGGAGAGAAGTTTAGTTTTTGAGGCGTTAAAATTAATAAGATACCCTTTGCCCCATTTAACGATGGACTTGAGGTTTGAAAAACTTGTTACATGAAAAATTTTTCAGTGATTCAATTGCAGTTCAAAATACCTTCGATGATTCTGTTGCCACCTGAACTTCTAATTTATATGCTAGTGAAAAGACGACACTTGTATCTTGTTGGTAAAATTGTATCAAATCTAAAGGTTCTGATATTGATTAATAAAACTTACTCTTGTGTAAGATAAATAGTAAATAAGTAAATAGCCGAACACTATTTCTATGAAAAGTGTATATTGTAAAGAGAAAAGAGAAGCCACAAACGTTTTTGGTTATAATGGGAATTTTTTAAATATATACTATACTTTAATATCTGTCTATATTTCTGAGATGAGGTATTATGTACATTATTTACATT